ATTTCTTCGATCTCTTCCACCACTTCTTCAATCCATTCTTCAATAACCTCTATGGTATCATCGTCCTGTTTGGAAATCAGCCTGCTCGTGTGACCTTATTGAACATTCCATCGAAAGAAATTGTACGAACAAGGAATTTAGTTAACGTTACAGATGTATGTTCTTGTTCATTTTTAATTCTTCTACTTTATGAAGAAAAATTATTAGACATTAATTTTCGTGAAATAATTTTTTTAGTGCAAAATGCATTGGCAATCAAACGGAGACTTTTTATGCGTCAAAGTTGATCGCCATACAAAGACAAAAAAGTCGACATTCTCTAATCTCGAAATCTTTAGGGTTCGTGAAAAAGATATTCCAGTTGAAGTTATCGAAGTTAAAGGTATTTATAATATGGGCCTAAAAATTTTAGAGGATGAGCTATGTAGGTAGAATATGACGAAAACTTTTTATTTTCATTTAGATGTAGTAATCGCTTTCGCCTGGGAGCCCAAGGGTGAACGTTTTGCAATTATTACAACAAGTGATCCCAATTATGGTCAACCAACCCAAGGTGGCGCACCCTTAAAAACAAGCGTATCATTTTATTATCTTGAAAAACCAAAGTCTGGCAAAGGTGACTCGGTTGGGACCGCTAATTTCAAACTAATAAGTGAGTATTTGTATTCTATAATATATATATATATTTAAACCACAAACTAATAAATATGACATCATTTATCTAGAGACACTTGAAAAAAAAACATCAAACGCCATTTATTGGTCACCACAAGGCCGGCATGTAATCTTAGCTACTTTACGTTCTGCTACAACTTTTGACTTAGAATTTTGGGATTTAGATTTTGAAACAACTCTTGAACAGAAAGAATCGACAAAAGCTGATCCAGCTGCATGTTTACAACTAATGAGCACGCAAGAACATTATGGTGTCACTGACGTTGAATGGGATCCTACCGGACGTTATGTTATCACCAGCTCTAGTTTCTGGAGGCATAATGTAAGCAGGAAAACGATTTACTGTTTATGATCATTATACTTATAAAATGAATGTTTAACAATTTCTCTATATGATGAATAGATAGAAAACGGGTATATCTTATGGGATTTCAAGGGTACGCAATTACAAAAACATTTAATGGATAAATTCAAGCAATTGTTATGGCGACCTCGACCAAAGAGTTTATTAACAAGTGAGCAAAAGAAAACAATCAAAAAAAATCTACGCGAGTATTCTAAAATATTCGAGGAAGAAGATTACTATGAAAAATCAACGGTGTCTAAAGAACAGATTGCTCATCGACGTCGCCTTATGGATGAATGGAATGCATGGCGTAAAAGGGTAGAAAAAGATTTGTTAGAAGAAAGAGAAAGTGCTGGTACCGTGCCAATTTCCAAACAGGACGATGATACCATAGAGGTTATTGAAGAATGGATTGAAGAAGTGGTGGAAGAGATCGAAGAAAT